CGTTACGAAGTCAACCGTCAAAAATATGAATTATTTGTCAAGCACTGCAGTGTAAATCACATCACCATGGCGATGGTCATAAGTGTGAAAAATGGGGATAGCTCACTTTTTTCAGTGCCGTTGTAAAACTTAGGAAGGTCACTAAATGAACTGTTGAAAGTCCAGGACTTGTACAGATAATCCTCGATTTACAACCGTATGTTTAGTGACCGTTCAATGTTACAATGGCATTGACAAGTGACTTACATCCGGTCCTCATACTTATAACCTAAACAGCATTCTCATGGTCACATGATCAAGATTTTAGAGCTTGCCAACTGGCATGTACAGCCTCCCGGGGTCATGCAATCCGGATTTACGACCTTCCTGATTTTGCTTCCTTCAGAATGGCCAGCTTCGCTTAATGACCGCATGATTTACTGCAGTGATTTGCTAAACAACCATGGCAAGAAAAAGTCTTAAAGTTGGGCAAGACTCACTTAACAACTGCCTTGCTTAATAAGAGAAATTCTGCTCTCAATTGCGATCGTAAGTCGAGGACTACTTGTACGTAGCTTGTGTGTATGAACAAAACGCAATGAATGAACCTCAGGGCTGTCCACCCCTCCGAGTATGGGCACTGAGTGCACTCTTAAATAATTTACAGTATTATTCAACTAACTACTTTTTTCCCCCAAAAAAGATCCTTCAATTTTTTTTTTTAAGGAAGTGCAATTTCTCTATTTTTAAGTACTAAAGGAGCTGCAGTTACCATCCCATTAGACTTTATTTACACACTGAATACTATATTAATACTTCGTCTCGATCGCATTTCCCTTACTTTATTTGCTTTTCGCACTTGCTACAGGTTGTATAAGCCAAGGCTAAATGTTAATTATCCTATTTAGCGAAACCTGCCTTCAGTTTTACCTCAGATGGGAGCGACTTCAGGAGTCTGCTACAACCGTTTGGCCTTTGGTAAGGTCACCCATCTGTGTGTTTGTGCGTTGTTCGCTTTCTGTCTCCATCTTCACAAGGATACCTTCTCCTTGGCATCAAAATATTTTAGTTTATAGCTTAAGCGGGTTGAGGACTACGGCTCTTAAGGCATTCTCACACTGAAGCTTGAAGGGACTCCCGGTTCAGTCAGATTTGCAACGTGAACAGAGACCTCACCTGGCCATCTAAATTATGATTTATGCATTATGGATGCATTTCCTCCTCTGGGCCTCTGTGAGAACAAAGATCGGATCATCAGAGTCCAAAGGGAAGGGAAACTATTTTGCACAGTGCGCCTCACGTACTGATGATGTCGTTACCTAGTTTGGTAATTAAACGTCTGCAAGAAAACTACCAAGCTCAGAGAGCACCAAAGACCTCACAGCCTCTTCCTCTTCTGCAAGCTCCATTCCTTTCTAGCACGGATGATGTTACCTAGTTGGGTCATGAAATGTCTGCAAGAAAACAACTAAACTCAGAGACCACCAAAAACCCCACAGTCCTTCTCTTCTTCCTCCTCCTCCCTCCTCCTCCTCTTGGCACTCTTCGCTCCTTTCTAGCACTGATGATGTTCCCTAGTTGGGTAATGTTAAATGTCTGGAGCAGCCTTCTGATGAGGTGTGAAGGACCATATCTGCAAAAAAAACTCCCACCCAATGAAACCTGCACGCACCAACAACCCTGAGGAACTTTCTGTGGGGATCCTTTTCCCCACAGAAAGTAGATGTTTTGTCATCCCCAAAAAAAAAGGTGTTTTTTGGGGGGGGGGGGGGGGGGGGTTCTGGCAATTACCTTTCCAAGACCTTCCTACATAGCCTAGAGATCAGAATTAAGCACAATCCTGTATGTGGTTGTGATTTTGGAAGGGACTTCCCTGATTTCAAAGATGCTGAAGGTCCTGTCTGTGAGTTGAGGAAAAATAGAAAACAGAATAACAGAGTTGGAAGGGACTTTGGAGGTCTTCTAATCCAGCCCCCTGCTTAGGCAGGAAACCCTACACCACTTCAGACGAATGGTTATCCAACATCTTTTTAAAAACTTCCAGTGTTGGAGCATTCACAACTTCTGGAGGCCAGTTGTTCCACTGGTTAATTGTTCTAACTGTTAGGAAATTTCTCCTTAGTTCTAAGTTGCTTCTCTCCTTGATGAGTTTCCACCCATTGCTTCCTGTCCTGCCCTCAGGTGCTTTGGAGAATAGCTTGACTCCAGTGGTGAAATGTAAAATTTGTTACTACCGGTTCTGTGGGCGCGGCTTGGTGTGTGTGTGTGTGTGTGTGTGTGTGTGTGTGTGTGTGTGTGTGTAATGTGATTGGGTGGGCGTGGCCAACTTTTTTTTTAACTTTTAAAAGCATTTTATCTACAACCTTAAGATGTTGCAGAAAAAAATGCTTTTAAAAGCCTCTGACGATCAGGCAACTCAGCTGGGATCGTCAGAGGCTTTTAAAAGCATTTTTTCCCTACAACCTCTTCGGCTGAAGAGGTTGCAGAAAAATATGCTTTTAAAAGCCTCTGACAATCCCAGTTGAGCTGCAAGATCATCAGAGGACTTTTTTAAAAAAACTTTTAAAAGCATTTTTTCGGCCGAAGAGGTTATAGAAAAAATGCTTTTAACAGTTAAAAAAAAAAGCCTCTGATGATCGCGTGGCTCAGCTGGGCATGGGGGGGGCAGGGATTTTTGCTACCAGTTCTCTGAACCACCCGCCGCCATCGCTACCGGATCGGGCGATCCGGTCCGAACCGGGAGCATTTCACCCCTGCTTGACTCCCTCTTCTTTCTGGCAGCCCCTGAGATATTGGAAGACTGCTATAATGTCTCCCCTAGTCCTTCTTTTCATTAAACTAGATATACCCAGTTCCTGCACCCGTTCTTCATATTTTAGCCTCCAGTCCCCTAATCATCTTTGTTGCTCTTCTCTGCACTCTTTCTAGAGTCTCAACATCTTTTTTACATCGTGACGACCAAAACTGGATGCAATATTCCAAGTGTGGCCTTACCAAGGCATTATAAAGTGGTATTAACACTTCCCGTGATCTTGATTCTATCCCTCTGTTGATGCAGCCTAGAACTGGGTTGGCTTTTTTGGCAGCTGCAGCACACGGCTGGCTCATATTTAAGTGGTTGTCCACTACGACTCCAACATCCCGCTCACAGTTACTACTATTGAGTGAGCTACCACCTATACTGTACTTGTGCATTTTGCTTTTCTTGCCTAAATGTAGAACCTTCCTTTTTTCAATTTGGAAGTGTTCATGTTGGAAGTGAGGGGTTGAATTACATGTAAGTCCATGACTTACAATCATTTGTTTAGTGACCATTCAAAGTTACAACAGTACTGAGAAAAGTTGACTTTTGCCCGTTTTTCACAATTACTCCTGCAACATCACATGATCAAAATTCGGACAACTGGCAACTGGCTCCTATTTATGACGGTTGCAGTGTCCTGGAGTCCTTTTGTGAGCTTATGGCAAGCAAAGTCAATGGGGAAGCCAGATTCACTTTTACAACCGTGTTACTAACTGAACACCTGCCGTGATTCGCTTAACAACGGTGGCAAGAAAGGTGGCAAAATGGGGCAAAACTTGCCTCAACCGCTGCCTTCCTTAGCAACACAAATTTGGGGTTCCGTTGTCTAGGTAATTTGAGGACTACCTGGAAGTGAATTGAGGACTGCAACTTAGAAGCTTGGAAGTGAGGGGAGAATTAGCTTTTAAAACCACACGATCGCCAAGGAAAAAGGGAGATTTAAGCGCAGTGAAAAAAATCTTACAAAGTAGCTAATACCTTATTCTCTGAATTATAGCTAACCCAAAAGAAAGAATTTTGTCTGGCTTTTGGATTTGCTGAGACCCACAATTCATCAAGTGTGAGAAGCATCTATCTCAGGAGACAAGAGAAGATTCCCCTGCCTTCTTCTGGCCTTCTGCGCAGCTGTTATTTCATGCTTTAGGACAGAGGTCTTCAAACTTGGCAGCTTTAAGACTTGTGGACTTCAATTCCCAGAATTCTCCAGCCAGCTATGCTGGCTGGAGAATTCTGGGAGTTGAAGTCCACAAGTCTTAAAGCTGCCAAGTTTGAAGATCTCTGCTTTAGGACCTCCAAATGGTAATGATTGCCCTCCAGCCAATTACAGACAGTCCTCGACTTACAACCATTCGTTTAGTGACCATTCAAAGTTACAACGGCACTGGGAAAAAAAGAAGACTTCTGACCGGTTTTCACACTTACGACCAGTACAGACACACAATCAAAATTCGGGAACTTGCCAACCGGTGTGCATTTATGACGGTTGCGTTGTCCTGGTGTGGTGTGAACATCATTTGTAAACCTTCCCAGCCGGCGTCTGACAAGCAGCATCCATTGGGGAAGCCAGATTCGCTTAACAACCGCAATGATTCGTTTAACAACTGCAGCGCTTAGCTTGATAACGGTGGCAAAAAAACTCGTCAAAGGGGCAAAACTCACTTAACAAGCGCCTTGCTTTAGCAAAGGAAATTTGGGGCTCATTTGTGGTTGTAGGTCGAGGACGACAGTCAGTGGTGGGCTGCAACCGATTTAACGTCTGGGTTCTGTGAGCGCGCCTAACGCGCTTGCGCGCAGCATTCAAAATACAGCAATTTGAAGCTCAGCTGCTTACCTTCTAAGGCAGCCCCGGTCAGAGGCGCGCGAATCAGCTGTGCTGTGCGAATCAGCTGAGCCAGAAATAAGGAAATATAGGACAGGATAGGGTGGGAGCGGGTGGGCGGAGCCAGCTGATGGTCGGAACTACCAGTTCGCTAGAACCGGTCCGAACCGGCAGCAGCCCACCACTGACTACAGTACTTGCAGTAGTGGGATTCAGCAGGTTCAGGCTGGTTTGGGCGAACCGATAGTTAAATTGCTGGCTGGCTCTGCCCCTCCCCACCCCTCCCCTTCCAGGATTCCCCACCCCATTTTTTCTTCCAGGTAAGTGCAGGGAGGCCTACTAGGCCCAAAACAGGGCATGGGGGTGCGGCGCCTCCCCCCCCCCCACGCACAGCCCGTTTTTGCTCCCAGGAGGCTGCAGGGACGCCTACTAGGCCCAAAACGGGGCACCCCCCCCCGTTTTTGCTTCCAAGTGGATGCAGGAGGCTGAATGCTGCCTGTCGCACCCCTGGCCACACTCACCCAGCCAGTCATTAGGGCAGAGAACCTGTTGTTAAATTATTTGAATCCCACCACTGAGTACGTGTAGGTAAGGCGTGTCAAATTTTTCACATTAAGGGGTGCTCAAAAGTTGTGACAGGCCTTGGGGATTGCAAATATATTTTGGTTACTTTAATATAATTCAGATGTGTTTGGGAAGTACCGAGTTTCCCCAAAAATAAGACCCTGTCTTATATTTTTTTTTGAACCCTGAAATAAGCACTTGGCCTTATTGCCATGTGCTCAAAAGCCCGATTGGGCTTATTATCAGGGGATGACTTATTTGGAGGGAAACAGGGTAACTACATAAATACCATAGTTTTTGCTTGTTTCCGTGCCCCATCCAGATCCTTCTCGCTAGCATGGCTGGGTTCAAACTAAGGATTTGTTCCCTTGATAAGGGGTGGACAAACCATAGTCTGTGTGTGTCCTATTTCTCTCCCCTCCCCCGCCTTCTCATCTCCCTCTGAAAACAATCTAACCGTATCTCCTTGAATTTAGGGGGTGCTGAATCAATTTGCTTCGCAAGAGAACATTTACTTCCTTGGAATTCTTTAAGTGCACAGTGGACTTACCGTATTTTTCGGAGTATAAGACGCACCGGGAGTACAAGATGCACCTACCTTTTTTGGTGAGGAAAAGAAGAAAAAGAAATCTCCCTCTGCCTCTGCCTTTGAGCAATTTTGCCTCCTTGCAGCAAACAGCCTGCTTTATTTCATTTTCGTTTTCAGCATAGCTTGATTAGTACAAGGGGGAAAAAAATCTGCTCCAGCAATTTATCTCTTTGCAGCAAGCAGCAGAGCCCTGCGCAAAACAGCTGAGAGCAAATCAGCTGAGAGTCGGGAGGCTGATCCAATCAACTTGTGCTAATTAGGCTGTGCTGAAGCTGAAAGGAGCTGTTTTTTCTTGCTGTTTGCTTGCAAGGAGGTAAATTGCTGGGAGGCAGAGGCCAAAGGGTGGGGGTCAGTGAGTGGGCGGGGCTACATTCGGTGTATAAGACGCACCTAAATTTTCACCCCCTTTTAGGGGGATAAAAGGTGCGTTTTATACTCCGAAAAATACGGTACGTATCCTGGAGGGTTGAACCCCAAAACCAAATCGAAGTGGTTCTTTGGAAGAGTTTTACCCAACATTTCTTGAAGGACAGTCCCCTTGTTTTTGTGAAACACAGGGGGAAAAAAATATGTAGAAACCAAAGCTGAGAACCAATAAGCATTGCCATGAATGTTTCAGCCTGAAGTCCAGAGGGAAGAGTAACTAGTAGCCTAACCCATTTGTTCCTAGTCACGCCTGAAAAAGATGTCTCTGGCATTGATGCCTGCAGTGCTACTGAAGGATGATGACCAAGACGATGAACAGAACCACAATGGTCTGCAAAAAACAACTTTCCAAAACTTGGTGGGCCATTGGACCATGATAACACACTCCCCTATAAAACGTCCCCAGATTGGTCTGTTCGTTAATCTCTTTAAAAAAAAAAAAAAAGACAGACAGACAAAGGAATACTGTAGTTGCAAACTCCAAAAAACTTCCCTGAGAACCTTTGCTTTGTTTCTGTTTTTGTTTTTTTTTCCGTTTCCTGTTGCGTTTTCCGCTGGAGATCCGGAGCTGCTTTTTTTCTTTTTTTTTGGAAAATAAAAAATAACGTGACTCTGTAATACTTTGAGGAGTTCTCGTGTCCAGCGGCTTTGGACTCCTTAGTTGAGTCAGAATCCTAGCCCAGTGTCTATGGAGATTCTCAGTCATCCAGGTCATGGTTGTTCCCAAAAGTGCTTTTTCAAGAGGCAATTGGACTTGTTCAGAGGTGAAGAAGCTTCTTTAGATGAGAAGCGAAACGTCTTCAAAGAAAAACCAGAAAGTCCAGTTGCCTGTTGAAAAAAAACAAAACCCAAAGCCAAATTCCGATGGAGGGACCGCATTTCCAGCTTCTCCTGAACAACAGATGACGTAGAATTGACGGGCTATCTTGAGACGTGACCAAACTTGCAATGATTGGTGAAACCTCCTGGGATGGACGTAGAGAATGTTCCTTGAATGATCTAAATCTTGGAATAATTCCCGTTATGAAGGGTAGGAACTTAGCAGCAGGCGAAGATCCAACATCTCTACCTACTTCCACACCCAGCTTTGAATCTACCGCCAAACATAAAACAGAGTTCCTGCTGTTTGCCAAAGTGATGCGGTCAAGTCAACAAAACAAAACAAAATGAGGAAAAAACAACAACACATGAGTTCATTTCTTCTTTTGTGAATGGCCTCTTGGTTAAGTTTTGGTCCTTTGATTCATTCATTCAACAAATAAACCTGAGTGAAGGTCTTCTAAAGTCTTCCCGATATCCTAACGTCTTCTTTCTTTCTCTCTCTCACACTCTCTTTCTTTCTTTTCCTTGTCCTACCTATTAGACCTGAATTCCTTTAATGGCCTGTTTGATGCTTTCCAGCAGATCCTTGTTTTCAGGATTCTGGTAGCATTCTTGATTGGTATACATGTCGGTAAGCGTGTTCACGTAGGCATCAAAGTTCTGCTCACTGATTGGCTCCTGGATTCCAAAACAAACAGACAAACAGAAAGAAGCATGATTACCATCACCGTAAATCCTAACTGGGAAGCAGGGAAGTCATAATCATGAAGACTCACAAAAGTGTTCTAAATTCAGAAAGAATAAGAGAATAACAGGGTTGGAAGGGAAACTTGGAGGTCTTCTACTCCAATCGCCCGCTCAAGCAGGAGATCCCATACCAGTGGTGGGTTGCCTCCGGTTCGGACCGGTTCTATAGAACCGGTAATAAAACCGGCGGGAGGCTCCGCCCACTGACCCGGATGTCATCAGAAGTGATCTGCGCATGCGGGCACGATGCGAACCGGTAGTAAAGGTAAGTAGAACCCTCCCCTGCCCCATATCATTCCGTACCAACAGCAGGCGTGGTGCGCAGTGGTTAGAATCAGAGGTGGTATTCATCCGATTCGGACCAGTTCACCCAAACCGGTAGCAGAAATCGTGGGTGGGCCTGTCCACCCGCCCTGGCTCTATGCCATTCTATTTAGGCACGTTTTTGAGGCCGGGCACATGCACGGAAAGTGGCGCACGAGCAAAGCGCATGTGTGAAAGGCAGGCGTGCTTGCTTATGAAGCGAGCATGCATGCGCATGGCAAACTGGTAGTAACATAATGTGAAAGCCACTGCTGGTTAGAATGCAGTATTGCAGGCTAACTCTGCTCACTGCCAGGAGTTTGATCCTGACCGGCTCAAAGTTGACTCATCCTTCCATCCTTCCGAAGTCGGTAAAATGAGGACACAGATTGTTGGGGGGCAATAGGCTGACGCTGTAAACCGCTTAGAGAGGGCTGTAAAGCACTGTGAAGCGGTATATAAAATCTAAGTACTAGTCTAGTGTTATTGCTGTTCCAGACAGATGGCCGCCCAATTTCTTCATGATCTTGTCCAATTTGCCACCACTTAAACCTCTAAGTAGAAAGGACCCTTGGCTCCTTTTTGTTGAGAAGTATTGCAGTAATGGATAGCCAGAACTGAACATCACATACCAAAATCCCTAAATTTAACTTTTCTCTCCCTTAACTACCTCCCATTGCTGATCCCCCCCCCCAATGTGATCAGTCAGGTTCAAGCAAGATTAAACATTGCTATCATGTCAGCCCTAGGCACTGGTGGGTTTCAAATTTTTTTACTACCGGTTCTGTGGGGGTGGCTTGGTGGGCGTGGCGTGTCTTAGTGGGCGTGTCTTGGTGGGCGTGGCGTGGCTTGGTGGGCGTGGCTTGGTGGGCATGGCAGGGGAAGAATACTGTAAAATCTCCATTCCCACCCCACTCCAGGGGAAGGTTACTGCAAAATCCCCATTTCCTCCGGATCAGCTGGGACTCGGGAGGCAGAGAATAGATGGGGGCGGGGCCAGTCAGAATTTTTACTACTGGTTCTCCGAACTACTCAAAATTTCCTCTACCGGTTCTCCAGAACTGGTCAGAACCTGCTGAAACCCACCTCTGCTCCTAGGCCTTCTTTTCATTAAACTAGACATACCCAATTCCAGCAACGGTTCTTTATCTGTTTTAGCCTCCAGTCCCCTAATCCGCAAAGATGATTAGGGACTGGAGGTTGGACTAGAAGTCCTCTGAGGTCCCTTCCAATGCTATTATTCTGTGTTAACCTTTGGCTGTTCCTGCTTGGTTTCAAACCGGGGACTTTTCTACATTACAGAAACCCAACTCAAAACCCTCATAAATGGTTGTCTCAAGGATGCTTTTTCAGGAGGCAACTGGACTTTCTGGGGTTTTTTTTTTTTTTTTTAAATTTTGATTTATATGCCGCCCTTTTTCGGAGACTCCAGAGATGTAAGCATCGCCTTACAATGCGTTAAGCTGAGAAGGAATATAAATCCTTCCATTCTCCACCATCCAGTCAGAGCTGAAGAAGCTTCTTGAATGAGAAGCGAAACGTCTTCGAAAGAGAAAACAAGGAAGTCCAGTTGCCTCTTGAAAAAAAGCACCTTTGGGACAACGTGGATGACTGAGAATCTCTACAGACTTTTAGCTATACAATTTGGGATCAACACCCTTTGAATGGTGTGGGAGTAGGAATGGATTTTCCAGAGAAAAAAAATTGCAGACTACAGGAACCAGGGTCTACTCAGGTGACCCTGAGGACAGAGATAAACCTCCAAGTGGCCTCAACGACCCTCTAAAAGGCTGCAAATGACCAGCTGTCTGCAAGGAATATAAACCTTTCCATTCTCCACCATCCTGTCAGAGCTGAAGAAGCTTCTTGGCTGAGAAGCGAAACGTCCTCAAAAGAAAAAAAAAATCAGAAAATCCAGTTGTTTCCCGAAAAAGCACCTTTGGGACAACTATGACCTGAATGACTGAGAATCTCTATGGACTCCGATAAATGGTTACAACCCACTTCTTGAATGGAGTTCTTACAGCTTACAGATCTGCCTAGGAGAATTTAAGAGCCATTGAGAGCAAAGCCAAATAAGAAATGTTCACCCCGAACATCATAGCTGCCCACATCCTGGTCCCGAACCAGTTGCACACAATGTTGTGTCTTTGAACCTGGGAGAAATGAATCACCCACCGAACGAATATGAAATAGATACGAGCAGCAGGAGGTCTGCTACCCTCGTTAAGCGCACCGTAAATAATGGCTAATGAGGTTCCCTAACCGTTAATCACAGTCCAGAGTGTAGGGACACAGATCCCGTATGCTGGCTGAGGTGGAAGGGATGGCATTTTGTCAGGAATAATTGTGCACGCAGTGCTGTTAAAAGAAGGCATCTCTGCAGAAGATTTATGAACTGGCATAAAAATGCCCGAAGGAGCTTAGGATATAAGACAAACAGGGCATTCGTTAAAGGATAATGAACGTCCAGCCGATAGAAAAACGACACCTGAAGATCCTCAGAAAATGGAAATCATGCATTAGATTGCATGTAGCGATTGGCTCCTGGTGAGGAATTAAACATTAACAAGAGAACTAAACAGTTAGCGCTTCGGGGGGCCATGCCAAATTTTTCAACAATCCCCTTTGAAGCTTCTAAAATAGAATGATAAGAGTTGGAAACGATTTTGGAGGTTTTCTAATTCCACCCATCCCCACCCCTGTCAACTTTTCCCTCTGTAAAATTTCCGCCTGTGAGGTCCTTGGTGCTCTCTGAGCTTGGTTATTTGCACGCAGATGTCTCATTACCAATCTAGGTAACATCATCAGTGCTGGAAGGGGGCAGGGTTTGTAGAGATAAGGAGAAGGAGAAAGGGAAACAGAATGAGAGGAGGAGGAAGAGGAGGAGAATTGTAGGGTTCTTGGTGCTCTCTGAGTTTGGTTATTCACATTGTTGTGGCCTGCCAGCGGCCTGCGCGGATCGTGGCTGATCCCGACGACAAGGAGGCTGATGTGGTGTTGTGTCAGCAGCCGGCACAGCCGGTGCTCGCGTCGGACAGCGAGGAGGCCGAAGGGGATGTGGTGCCAGAGGCAGAGACTCAGCCAGGGCCTTCAGAACCTCCAGAGGCTCCTTCAAGTGGAGAGAGCGAAGTGGAGGAGCCTCTCCTCAATGCTCGAGCACGCAGGGCTGCCAAAAGGCAGGAGTGGCTACTCAGGAGGAGGAGGTCTCCTCGAGAGTAAGGCTTGAGGATAATTGGCCACTCCCTTAGCCTATTTAAGTCACACGCAGTTAGTAAGTTTCTTGCTGGAAACAACTTGTAATTATCATCAGAACATTTTTGGAAAAGTCTTATCGTATTTTGTTTTCTGGGCTGGTTGCCAACCTTTGCCGGACTTTGTTTTATTCTTGCTACTTAATAAAATTGATAAGGACCGTTGGTGTGTGTCAATATCCTCGGAAATCCGGAGCTGGGGCAGAACACACATGCAGACATTTCATTACCCAACTAGGTAACATCATCAGTGCTAGAAGGGGATGGGGATTGCAGAGATAAGGAGAAGGACAAAGAGAATGGGAGGAGTTGGACAAGGAGGTGGAGGAGGAGGAGGAGGAGGAGGAGGAGAAGGAGGAGGGGGACAATGCCGACTATAGGAGCTTTGGTGCTTTCTGAGCTTGGTTATTTGCATACAGATGTTTCATTCAGGACCCCATAGCCGTTCTCCGCCTCCTCCTCTCCACAAACACCCCTCTCTTCTAGCACTGATGATGTTACCTAGTTGAGTAATGAAACGTCTGCAAGAAAACAAACAAGCTCAGAGAGCACCAAGGACTCTTCATTTCCTTTTTTGTCCGTCTCTGGTGTCACGTAAGACATCAATTCTGCCTCACGAATAATTGCCTGCCACAGGATAGAATTAATTTCCGGAAAATAGAGTAGGCAATTAATACTCCTTTTCAGTTGTTCTAGTTCAACGAAGCTTAGGAAGAAAAAAAAAAATCCACAGCAGTAATTTGGCAGCTGGATACTGCTTTGCCCCCCATTAAGTTAAAACTAATGTACTCTCTTTATGGCCAGGATTGCTCAGATGACAGAAATTGAGGTCAAAAATGAAGATTTTTAGCTTTTATCGTTTTCTTTTAAGTTGGGTTCTGACTGAGATCTAATGAGTGACAATCCAAAAACATGAAAAGAAGATGGTGCTGGCTGGGGAATTCTGGGAGTTGAAGTCCACGGGTCTTAAAAGTTGCCAAGGTTGAGAAACACTGATATATCGAGACCATAGGAGAGGCCTCATTAAAGGAGGATTGGGCTGGATTTGCTATCGCTCATTTTCTTGATGGGAAAGTTAGAGCCTCCAGCATAGCTGACCTCCCTCTTCCCTAACCTTCTGCATAGCATTGCAACTAAGCTTCTTTCCCATTAAATCTGGCTACAAGCTGGGCTACCAGCCATATGGAGATAACCAGAAACTGTCCGGTTTAATTTATGTCACAACTGGATGGTTTTATAAACCATTCTAATCAGTTTTACACCCAGGCTAGACCAATTTCTCCTTTCCTTTCCTTTCCTTTCCTTTCCTTTCCTTTCCTTTCCTTTCCTTTCCTTTCCTTTCCTTTCCTTTCCTTTTTTCCTTTCCTTTCTTTTCCTTTCCTTCTATTTTTCCTTTCCTTTCCTTTCCTTTTCCTTCCTTTCCTTTCCTTTCCTTTCCTTTCCTTTCCTTTCCTTTCCTTTTTCTTCCTTTCCTCTCCTCTCCTCCTCGACCAATGAACAAAAGAACCAATCAGCTGCTGAGAATTTAAATATATCTTCCAACGAACAACCAATCGCACCATCAACTGACCACACTGGCACATAAGACATTGATAAGCTAAAGAGGACCAGGACCAGAAAATCCTGCTGATGATGTTACCTAGTCTAGTAACGATGTTCAGAATGTTCAGAAACGAAAAAACAATTTTTTTTACAGACCAATCTCATTATGTTGCATCACATGTAAAGTCATGGAATCAATCATAAACCAATCCATTACCCTCTACTTAAGAGACAAACAACCTATTCTCTAAAAAGCAGTTTGGCTTCAGAAAAAAATTGTCCTGCAATCTGCAACTCTTACACTGGAAAAACATATGGACATCACAACTCGACCAGGGTATAGCAATAGACGCAATTTATATAGACTTCTGTAAAGCCTTTGATTCAGTGGTACACGACAAACTACTTCTAAAACTAAAATCTTATGGCATTTCCAGATCCCTACATAAGTGGATAGCTGCGTTCCTATCAAACAGGCAATAAGTAGTCAAAATAGGGAACACCCTATAAAATCCTGCATCTGTTAACAGCAGTGTCCCCCAAGGAAGTATTTTAGGACCCACACTCTTTATACTTTACATAAATGTCCTTTGCGATCATATTATAAGCAACAGCGTTTTCTTCGCTGATAATGTAAAACTATTCAACACCATTGACAATGCTTCTACCCTACAAAAAGACCTTGACAATCTGTCAGATTGGCAACTCCAAATCTCAACCAACAAATGCTCCGTCTTATACATTGGCAAAAAAACCTCAAAACTCAAAATACAAGCTGGGCGGATCCGACCTCATAGACGACCTTCACTCTGGACCTTAGAGTACTCATCTCAAACGATCTAAGCTCCAGAGCTCACTGTAACAGCATTGCCAAAAAAGGCATTAAAAGTTATTAACCTAATCTTCCGTATCTTCTTCTCTGGTAATATTGTACTACTAACTAGAGAATACAAAACATTTGCTAGACCAATTCTCAAATACAGCTCTTCTGTTTGGAATCTGCACTGCATATCGGACATTAATACAATTGAGAGAGTCCAGAGATATTTCATGAGAAGAGTCCTCCACTCCTCTACCCGCAATAGAATTCCTTATGCCACCAGACTTGAAATTTTGGGCTTAGACAATTTAGAACTACGCTGCCTTCGGTCTGACCTAAGCATAGTACATTAAATTATCTGCCACAATGTCCTACCTGTCAATGACTACTTCAGTTTCAACCACAACAATACACGAGCACACAATAGATACAAACTTAAGGTAAACCGTTTCAAACTCGATTGCAGAAAATACGACTTCAGCAACAGAGTGGTCAATGCCTGGAATGCACTACCTGACTCTGTGGTTTCTTCCCCAAACCTACAAAACTTTAACCTTAAACTATCTACTGTTGACCTCACCCCATTCCTAAGAGGTCTGTAAGGGGCGTGCATAAATGCACCAGCGTGCCTACTGTTCCTGTCCTAATGTCCCCATTTATTCGTATCCATTTCCTGTATTCATAATCATGTTTATATTTATATCTGTTATCTAATACATGCTTGACGAAATAAATAAATAAATAGAAAATAGAAAATGAAACAAGCTTGGAGAGCAAACCCCTGCCAAAATGATGTTCTTTTTCCACACCGACTGTTCTACTAGGCCTGTGATGGCGAACCTTTTCGGCACCGAGTGCCCAAACTGGAACGTGTGTGCATGTGCATTCCTGCACACACGCCGGAGCGCCAGAAACCTGAAGACCAGCTGGCCGGCGCGCACACGCCATGTTTTTGGCCATTTTCAGGGCGTTTTTTGGGCCGTTTTAGGCCATTTTTCAGGCCAAAAATGGCCTGAAAACAGCCCGAAAAATGGCCTGTTTTTTGGCCATTTTGGGGTGTTTTTTTGGGGCAGTTGTCAGGCCGTTTTCTGGTGCTCTGGTGCCTGCGAAAACCAGCTGGCCGGCACATAAGTGCGCACCAGAAACCGGAAAAGCTGGCGATGGTGCATGTGCCCACGGAGAGGGCTCTGCATGCCACCTCTGGCACCCGTGCCATAGGTTCGCCACAGTGGTGGGATTCAAATAATTTAACAACCAGTTCTCTGCCCTAATGATTTCTTCCAACAACCAGTTCACCAAACTGCTCAGAAAGTTAACAACCGGTTCTCCCGAAGTGGTGCGAACTGGCTGAATCCCTCCACTGGTTCGCCATCACGGTACTAGGCTAAAAAAAAGGAATGAACCAACGATTCAGTAGCACCTTCTCTTCCACTTCTGAAGGAAAGGCAACAAACCACCATCACCACCCCGTACGATAATGGCTTACAGAAACCGGGATATGAAGGACCAGCAGATCTGAGGTCCTCTCCTTACCATGTGTGGAAGGCGGATATTGGCAAGACTTTGGATAAGGGTCTGGCTCAGCCCTGAGAGCTCAAGGAAGAGGGCTTCGTTCTGCTCCTCTATCATCTTGTTCTCCTCTTCGATGTTCTTGAGGTTCTTCTCCATGCTGGAGATCTGCCGGATCAAAAGGAGAACGGTTACAGGGGACGTGGACAGTTATTGTACAGTAGTGGCCAAAATTGTGGAAACCTTTTGGGAAAAGTATTTTTGAGGTTTGATGGCTAATAACACCACTTTTTTTTTTTTTTTTTGAGTTTCAAGATAATCCGATTCCACTGCTGGAATGGCCTGGGAATAGCCCAGACCTGAACCCAATTGAAAATCTGTGGCGCCAACTAAAGAAGCTTGTTAGTCAGAAGCGACCCAGCAATAAAACCCAGTTAATAGAAGCAATCATTCGATCTTGGTTTCACATGATAAGAGCTGCAGAACTCAAAGGCTTGGTTCACTCCAGGAAGACGTTGTAAGGCCGTAATTCATGCTAAAGGTTACCCAACGAAGTATGAACTGACATGGTGATAATTTTTGTATATCTCGTTTTTTCTACGTCTTTCACTTTTCTTCTTTATATTGTAACTGCTGTTCTAATAGCAAATCCTTCATAAAAGTTAGTGCATTACATTCTTGATTAAATTATCTTTCCATTGATATATAATTTTATGGTACTACTGAAAAAAAAAGTGGTGTTATTAGCTAGTTTTAGAAAATGCTGTACACTTTGCCCAAAATGTTTCCACAATTTTGGACTCTACTGTATACTATGTCCACAGCATTTCTCCAGTTTACTGATTAAATGACTTTATCAAACAAAGAAATAAGATTGGTTTGGCATCATCTGTTTTTTAACAAACCCGTGCTGGCTAGTAGTTATAACTTTATTTACAGATTTTAATGTAGGTAGGTAAATGCGGGTCCAGCTGGATGATCACTGAAGGGCCCTCTTATTAAATCCACAACAATTTTGGTTTTTTTTTTTTTTTAATTATCTTTTCCAGGATCTTTCCAGGTACTCTTTTTATCCACTACATAGTTCAATTCTCCTAGGAAATAAAACTAAAGAGTTTATTTATATGTGGCTTTAAATGAGTACCTGCCCATTATAGGCCAATGAAATTGCAATAACACTGCCTTAGTTTGACTTTCAAGCTGGGAAGAACTGGTTGAACTCAGTCTGCCTTTTATAACCATCTTCCTTGCATTCCTTAAACATCTAGGTCCTTTTGGAATAAACCATGGCATTGAGCTTCATGTGGATGTTATAGGGTTATCATTTTTGTATATCTCCTTTTTTTTACGTGTTTCACTTTTCTTCTTTATACTGTAACTGTCATTCTAATAGCAAATCCTTCATGAAAGTTATTGCATTACATTCTTGATTAAATTATCTTTCCATTGATATATCATTTTATGATACTACTCCAAAAAAAAAAAAAGTGGTGTTATTAGCTAGTTTTAGAAAATACACTTTTCCCAAAAGGTTTCCACAATTTTGGCCACTACTGTAGCTTTTGAAATCTCAGTGATAGTTCTGGAACAATTTACCCTGTATAAAGTCAGCACCCCCTCTCCTAGAAGAATGAAATATCTTGAGGAATATTAAAAAGGCAGAATATTATATTTCCCTAAATGAGAAATGGAGAAACATGGTTGTTGTTTTTTTGGGAGGCAGAAAGCAACCTCCACTTTCCTTAATAGCCCACAGCAATGTCAGCACTTAAGAGATAAAGAGCTTATTGAAAGAAGACAAGTATCTAGATAGCTCTATTTATAAGCAAATACCCTCACCCAAGATCCAAACCAGGACAAAGACATTAAGCCACAATAGGAATTGCCCAACACCCTTTCAGAACACAAGCCTTCATTGCATCATCACACAGCAGCCCAAACTTCAACCAAACTTAGCTCAGACAAACATGACCCCTTCATGGCCCCATGGGAGTCTGATAATAGCCAATAGAATATTAAAGGACATGTTCTGACACAGGAACAGGAAGCTCAAATACAAAGCCCAAAGAAGGTATAAAAACCCACCCACTCTCAACTCCATTTTGTCAGCTGCCCAGAATCACATGTGGTTCTGCTTCATCATTAAACCATCTTTCCAATCAGCCTCCATGTTTCCAGTGTCTTTCTCCTGGCTTGGAACTGAACCAGATGGATATCTTTTCCCACAACCCCAGAGATGAATGTCTGTGGAGATTCTCAGTACCCCAAAGGGGCTTTTTTTTAAAAAAAAAAGACAGCTGGACTTTGTTTTTCTCTGAAGACGTTTCGCTTGTCAAACAGGTGTGGAATTTTCTTGGAACTGTTGAAAGGACCATGTTGTAGACTGGGGATGGATGGTGTTGTATCCCTCCCCCTCAGTTTGTTTATTTATTTATTTATTTATTTATTTATTTATTTATTTATTTATTTATTTATTTATTTATTTATTATATTTCTATACCGCCTTTCTCCCGTAGGACTCAAGATGGTGTACAGTCAAGAAAAATATAGACACACAAACATCATAAAATTGCTAATTAAAATTATTGAGATAGGACTGTTTAGTCTTAATGTAGATGGCCTCTTTGACCCCTCTTTCAGACTCATTTGCACTACTCAGGTGACCCTGAGGGCACAGATAAACCTCCAAGTGGCCTCAAAGACTCTCAGAGAGAGTACTAACGAACAGATGACTGCAATGAATATAAATCCTTCCATTCTCCAACATTCAGTCAGAACTGAAGAAGCTTCTTGGATGAGAAACGAAAATGTCTTCAACGAAAAACAAAGTCCATTTGTCTTTTGAAAAAAGTACCTTTGGGACAACCATGAACTGGATGACTGAGAATCTATGCCGCAGCCATAGAGCAATTTATAGTATAGGGACTTCAACTCCCAGAATTCCCCAGCATGGTGAATTCTGGGAGTTGAAGTCCACCCATTTTAACGTTGCTAAGGTTGGGAAAACAGTGCTCTAGAGTTTAAACTTCCTTTCAACTACTTTTTTCTTCTCTCCATCGGCCTGTGTTTTGATGGTCCATCACGACGACAACACGCAAACGTACCTGCGACTGCAGCTTCACCATTGCTGCCTCCATCTCAGTGTTGGATTCATTCAGCTCACTGATTTCTTTGTTTAACTGTTTGATTTCTTCGTCGTTTTCTAGAACTTGAAGACACAAGAGGAGGGAAGGAAAATGGAATCATCCCGGTAATAACAATAACATGTTCGGAGGGTTTTTTTCAAATCCAGACCTTTTTATTCCATCAGGCAGGCTTGGCCTAATTTCTTCCCTTTTTAAATATGTAAATTTTAATCTGTTTTTAAATTATTGAGGTGTTTTAATCTGTCTGGGCCAAAATGATTTAATTTGATTTTATCTGGTTTTTAAATTTTTTGTATTTATGTATTTTATTGTTGGCTGTTCACCGCCCTGAGTCCTTCGGGAGTAGGGCAGTATACAAATCAAATAAACCTAAACCATAAACCTAATATGTATTCAAATATTCAAATAACATTTCCCAATTTTATTTATTTTATTTTATTTATTTAGTTTGTCAAACATGTACGAGATAACAGGAATAAGTATAAACATGGATATTAATACAGGAAATGGGGACGAATAAATGGGGACAGTAGGACAGGGACGGAAGGCACGCTGGTGCGCTTATGCACGCCTGTTGTGGTCCGCCGACAGCCTGCGGAGCTGGCAGCTGAGTCAGACAGCAATGAGGCTGAGGAAGAACATGGGCCAGTCCTGGAGGCTGGGGAAGGCCCGGATGAGGATTCTGCGTTAGAGGCAGAGATGGGGCCAGGGCCATCGGGGGGTGATGTGCAGACTCCGGAGCCTCCAGAGGCTGATAGTAGAGAGGCAGAGGAACAGGAGGAGCCTGTTCCTAGTGTACGTATGAGAAGAGCTGCCAGAAGGTAAGAGCAGCTCAAGCAAAAAGGACGACTCAGGAGTAAGGCCAAGAGATGATTGGCCCCTCCCATAAGGCTTAAAAGACCAGCAACGGCTCTTGGCCTCTTTGCCGGAAAACAAGCGTTGAAAGATTTGCTTCGTGTTTGGATGTATTTCTTACTTGTCAGCATCTTCTATTCCTGAACTGTTGCCAAGAAAAGCCTTTGGCAGTTTGCCTAATTATCCCAAAGTCAGAGATAAACTGAAGAATGGTGTTTTGTGAGCTTTGCTTTCATTTAATTTGGAATAAGCTGAGAATGAGTTAATTCTCAGCTGTTTTAATAAAATCTGTTTGTTTTTTGGAACTGTTTTGCATTTAATATTAACTACGTGGGCCTGGGTCACAACAACGCTCCCTTTACAGACCTCTTAGGAGTGGGGTGAGGTCAACAGTAGACAGTTTAAGGTTAAAGTTATGGGGGTTTGAGGATGTAACAACAGAGTCAGGTGGTGCGTTCCAAGCATTGACCATTCTGTTGCTGAAGTCGTATTTTTTACAATCGAGTTTGGAGCGATTTACATTGAGTTTGTATCTATTGTGTGCTCGTGTATTATTGTAGTTGAAGCTGAAGTAGTTATTGACAGGTAGTACGTTGTAGCGGATAATTTTGTCTACTACGCTTAGGTGGGACCGTAGGCGGCGCAGTTCTAGGTTGTCCAAGCCTAAAATTTCAAGCCTGCTGCCACCGACGACCTCCCATCGACCCGTGCGCTCCCACAGAGAGGGCCTCCTCGGGGTATCATCAGCCAAACAATGCAGGCAGGTGACCCCCAGGGGGAGGGCCTTCTCTGTGGGGGCTCCCACCCTCTGGAATCAGCTGCCCCCAGAGATAAGGAGAATCCAAGACCTCAGTGCCTTCCGCCGTGCCCTTAAAACCCACTTTTTCCAGCAAGCCAGGCTGGCCTAATTCTTTTTAAGTGTTTTTAATTGTTTTGTTTATCGTTTTAATTAATGGGGCCAAATCTATTTATATATTTTAACTATTTGGCTGTTCACCACCCTGAGTCCTCAGGGAGAAGGGTGGTATACAAATTCAAAAAAAAAAAAAAAAGGTATTCTGTTGCGAGCAGAGGAGTGGAGGACTCTTCTCGTGAAATATCAAATAACATTTCCCAGTTTGTAATTGGGAAATTATGATGAACCATAAAAGGCAACAAATTAAATTCATCAGCCCCAACCAATACGGGTAGCCCTTGATGTACGACCACAATTGAGCTCAACATTTGCGTTGCTAAGTGAGTTTTGCCTCATGTTATCGTTTTTGCCACAGTTGAGTCACTGCATTGGTTAAGTCTATTCGCTAAGCGAATCTGGCTTCCCCCGTTGACTCTGCTTGCCAGTTGAAGATGGCTGGGAAGGTCAAAAATGCTGATCACGTGACCCAGGGGCAGTGCAACTGTCAAAAATACATGCCAGTTGCCGAGTGTCCGAATGTTGATCACGTGACCATGCAGATGGTGCAACCGTCGTAAGTGTGAACACCGGTCGTAAATCATTTTTTTCAGTGCCGTTGACACCTCAAACGGTCACTAAATGAATGCTGACAGTACAGAATTACCTGTAGGTTACAGGTAATCCTTGCTTAATGCATGGTTGCCTAGCAACCATTGGAAGTAAAGATGGCGTCTCCAAAAGTTACTGGCAACCAGTCTTCAAAGTTCTGATGGCTCCACCCCCTCCTTGCATTTTGGTGCTTGGCAACCATTTTGCATTTACAAATGCATTTTGCATCTTTGTGGCATCCTGCCATCATATGACCAGAATTTTGGATGGGTTTTTTTTTTGTGTGTGCCAGGTTTCGGTGTTCTGGTTTTCTGGCAAAACCCCACTCTTTAGATATAATGGCTTCATTTAGTGACCATCTTGTTCATTTAACGACCATTGCAAAAAGGCTGTAAAATCTGGCGCGTTTATAGGGCGACCCATTTAATGACTGCCAAGAGCCTTGGTAGTACAGGGGTTTAAGGCACCCTGTTATTAAGCTTATTAAGACCAGCTGCCTGCAATTACTGCAGGTTCGAATCTCGCCAGGCTCAAGGTTGACTCAGCTTTCTATCCTTTCTAAGGTAGGTGAAATGAGGACCCAGTTTGTGGGGGCAATAAGCTGACTTTGTATAAATATACAAAAGGATGAAGGCTATTGCTGAGCACATTGTAAGCCGCCCTGAGTCTTCGGACAAGGGCGGCATATAAATCAAATTAAAATAAAAAATAAAAAATGTACAGCCGTAATTATAAATGATAAAATTAATAATTATAAGATTACACTCAATAATAACAGCTCAAAAATGGTAGCAAGTTGAGAACTACTGATATTTCTGGTCAGAAATATATTTCTGACATCCAAAATGCAAACAATATCTTGCCGAAATTGTAGTGCACTTTTTAAGCAAATTAGGTAGTTTCAATTCAACTTGCATGGGTCATCCTGATCAGAGAATAATATTAATTCGGCGGACAGATACAACATATATAAAACAAAGTTACATGGACTGATGATGATATTACCTAGTTGGGTAATGAAACGTCTGCAAGAAAATAACCAAGCTCAGAAAGAGCACCAAGCGCTCCAATGTTAAATTGCTTTACCCCCAAATTACAAAACTAGCCAAATAATAAATCAGATTATTTTACCATCGCTGGTCTTGAATTTAGTGTTGAGAATATCATCCCCTGAGATTTTCCCTTTCTTTCCAGCAAAAGTAGCTCTTGGACACCCTGATAAGCTGAAAGAAAAATGAAAAAAAAAATTAGAACTTACATAAGGAGCTGAAACCAGACAATACTTCAAGTTGAATCGACATATATGTTGCAAAAACTTGTCCTAACCTACTCCTCCCTTGCTCCTTTCCTTCCTTTTCCCCTCCCTCCCTCCCTTCATTTCTTCCTCTCTCCCACTTTCCCTCAGTCCCTCCTTCTCCTTCCCTTGCTCCTTGCCTCCATTTTCTACTTCCTTCCTTCTTTCCTTCCTTAAGATTTATATTGACTGTTTCCCTATGACTATCATTAAGTGTTGTACCTTATAATTCTTGACAAATGTATCTTTTCTTTTATCTACACCGAGAGCGTATGCACCAAAGACAAATTCCTTGTGTGTCCAATCACACTTGGCCAATAAAGAATTCTATTCTATTCTATTCTATTCTATTCTATTCTATTCTATTCTATTCTATTCTATTCTATTCTATTCTATTCTATTCTATTCTTCTGCCCTCCCCACTCCTCCTTTCCTTCCTTTTCCACTCCTTTCCTTCCTTTTTCGCTCCTTCCTTCCTCCCTCCCTCCCCCCTCCCTTCCGGGCAGCACACAACAAATAAAACAGAAGATATGAAAATGGCAATTAGAAATATAAAAGCCACATTAATGTAGGCAGTTAAATCTAATTCCTTACAATAACCCAGAAGACTTTTGTTATTAACGTTCATTAATATTAAATCTGGCATAGCTCAGTGAATTCATTACATGATCATTGATTGGGTAGATTGATTCAGGAAGTAAGTATTAGGAATGGAACAGGAGTCAGTTTGAAATCCCAGAATATTGCTAATTGCTGAAGGCAAGTAGAAATTAGTTAGGGAGATGCTTTTACTATAACGGATAGTCATTGACCTGCAACCGGAAGTTTCTGTGGCTGAGCAAGGCAGTCATTAAGTGAGTTTATGACCTTTTCCCCACAGTTCTTAAGAAAATCACTCCAGTTGTTAAATGAATCATGCAGCCATTAATCAAATCGGGCTTCCCCCATTGACTTTGCTTGTCAGAAGTCGGCTGGGAAGGTTGCAAAAAAGGCAGTCATGTGACCTTGGGACATTGCAAGCATTGTAAGTACAGATACTCCTCGACTTACGACCACAAATGAGCCCAAAATTTCTGTTCTGAAGTGAGTTTGGCCCCAGGTTGACTCAGCCTTCCATCCTTCCGAGGTCGGTAAAATGGGGAACTGAGATTGTTGGGGGCAATATGCAAATAATGCTTACATTGTAAATCAGCCAGAGAATGAATTAAAGCATGCATGCATGTGTGCGACCCCACCCCTGCTCCTGGCACATGATGGCAAAAAGGTTAGCCATCACTGCCCTATACCATTTCAAACAGGTGGCTGTCCCGTCTCTTCTTAAAAACCTCTAGTGATGGATCGCCACAACCGTGATGGCAAACCTATGGCACGCGTGCCACAGATGGCAGGTGGAGCCATGTCGCCTGACATGCCAGCTCAGCCTCTCTAGGAGTCTCTGGAGGCTGGGGACAACAAAAAACGTCACTTCCTGTCCAACCGGAAGTTGGGAAACGGGTCGTTTCGGGCCTCCGGAGGGCCTGGGAAGACTGTTTTCGCCCTCCCCAGATGCATAGAGAGGATCTGAAGCCAGGTGAGAAAGAAAAATGGGCCTACTGGCCCATCATGTGCCAGGAGCGGGGGAGGGGGGGTCGCATGTGCATGCGCGGGGTGGGGTGCATAGAATTATGGGTGTGGGCACATGCACGCATGAACCTCCCCCTTCCTGGCACGCGATGGTAAAAAGGTTAGCCATCACTGGCCTACAACTTCTAGACTAGAGGCAAGCTGTTCCACTGGTTAATTGTCCTCACTGTTAGGAGGTTTCTCCTTAATTCCAGGTTGCTTCTCTCCTTGATTAGTTTCCATCCATTGTTTCTTGTCTTGCCTTCAGGTGCTTTGGAAAATAAATTGACCCTCCCCCTCTTCTTTGTGGCAGCCCCTCCAATACTGGAAGACTGCTATCACGTAACTCCAAATTCTCCTTTTCATTAAATTGGACATACCCAATTCCTGCAACCATTTTTCATATGTTTTAGCCTCCAGTCTCCTAATCATCTTTGTTGCTCTTCTCTGCTCTTGAAGAAAACTTCAAAGAAAGTATGCTTGAAACTACACGCATTTTCCAACAAAATATATTTGCCTTCTTGGAGAGAAGAAAGATTGATTTCTCTAATTTCTGCTTTTTATTATTTTTTCTCCTTTGTCAGGGGAGGAAAATTAGAAAACGAAAACATATATTTTATGTTGGATGTAAATTTGTTTCTCATCTTCTCCCTCGGGTTTATAAGCAGTATTTTTTATACATCCATTAGAAATTCATTATGACTTGAACAGCTTTGCGTTTGGGAAAGAATTTATATATTAGAGGAACTCGGTTGCAGATTGGCCCATAAAAAAGACACAATAAAATGAAGTTTTTTAATGGAAATGAATATTTGCTACCTCCTAAACTTGGATTCTGGAACTTTCTATACAGATAGTCCTCGACTTACAGCAGTTCATTTAGTGACTGCTCAAAGTTACAACGGCACTGAAAAATGTGACTTATGACCATTTTTCACAGTTACGACCTCTGCAGCATCGCCATAAACTTGTGATCAAAATTCAGATGCTTGGCAGTTGGTTCATATTTATGACGGTCGCAGTGTCCCAGGGTCACATGATTCCCCTTTTCTGTCCTTCTGACAAGCAAAGTCAATTGGGGAAGCCAGATTCATTTAACAACCATGTTCCTAACTTATCAACTGCAGTGATTCACTTAACAACTGTAGCAAAACAAAGGTCGTAAAATGGGGCAAAACTCACTTAACAAATGTTTCACTTAACAACAGAAATTTTAGGCTCGGTTGTGGTCGTAAATCGAGGACTACCTGAATTGTAAAGATATAGTCCTTGACTTAAAACAACCACTTACAACAGTTCGTTTAGTGACTGGTCAAAGTTACAATGGCACTGAAAAAAAGTGACATGACCACCACTGTTTCAGGGTCCCCATGGTCACGTGACCAAAATTCAGACTCTTGGCAACTGACTCGTATTCATGACGGTTGCAATGTCCCCGGGTCATGTGATCATCTATTGTGAACTTCTGACCAGCAAAGTCAATGGGGAAGCCAGATTCACTTAACAACCGTACGACTAGCTTAACATCCGTGGCAACTTTCTTGCCACAGTTGTTAATTCACTTAACAACTGGGTCAAGAAAGCTCATAAAATGGGGCTTAAGAACTGTCTGTTGTGGCCTGTCCACCGCCAGCCCTTCCGGCAGCCGAATCAGATGAGGAGGCGGCGTAGAAGTCAGGGCCAGCATCAAGGCAACCTGAGAGCTCCGAGGGGGAAGAGGGAATGGAGCAGTCGGAGATAGAGAGACAGAGGCGGAGCCTGGGCCGTCCGTCAGCCCTCAGATGGAGAGTCAACAGCCCCCAGGTCTGGAGATGGCTGATGAGGAAGAGGAGGAACAGCTGGGTCCAGTGCCTGACGCGCTGATGCGCAGAAGGCAGAGGAGAGGAGAGCAGTGGAACTCTATGGGCCGGTCCTTGGGATGGAAGAGCCACTGCTGCTAGCGAAGTCCCACCCTAGCTCTGGGGACAAAAGGCAGGAGGCAGAGATGAATAGGTGTGGCAGACAACTATTCATCTCCTTGCCGGATGGACTTGGTAGCCTGCGGTGAGAGAGAGAGAGACTTTTTGCCGGAGCTGCTGGCGCTCATAATAAAGGCAACATTTGTTTAACTACAGAGGGTTTATTGTGTTTGGGAGCTAGGTCAGAAACATTGCGTTGCTTAGTCATGGAAATTATGGGCTCAATTGTGGTGGTAAACTGTCTTAAAAATTGGCACGCACAAACAAAAAATGGGATTTTTAACCTTTACAGAGAAAAGAGTCATGCTGGATCAGTGGTGGGTTCCTCCCGGTTCAGTCCGGTTCGGCCGAGCCGGTAGCGGTGACGATATGACGTCACCGAACCGGTTCCCCCCCCCGCCCTCCCCCCCACCCCCCACGTTATTCTTAACTTTCATTTGGTCCCACCCCAATCTATTGCTGCCTCCTGAGTCCCAGCTGATGACTAGAGGGAAAAAAACTGTTTAAACTCTTGCCCGGGGGCTTCAAAGGGCCTCCCTACAGCTCAGTGTGAAAAGCAAACAAACGAGTCGGGTCGTAAGTGCGAGGACTGGTCGTAAGTGCGAAGACCTTCCAGAAATGACTCTGACCAGCTAGCCACACCCACCTAGTCACATGACCTCCAAGCCACACCCACAAAATAAGCCACGCCCACAGAACTGGTAGTAAAAAAATTTAGAACCCACCCCTGTGCTGGATGCTTGAAATTTACCTTCTATGAGTGAGGAAGCTTCCGTTGGCGTGACCTGAACCATCACAGCCCGGAGTTGGGCAGGTCGGACCCTCGTTCTTGAGCGACTTCCATGAAAAGGTGGAGCCGTTGAGAGAGCCTTCCTTCTGCCTCCGGGCTGCAAGGGGACAACCTGAGGCACTGCGATGGGAGGCGTATTTGCCACTGATGTGTCCGAGTCCAACGCAGCCAGGAACAGGGCACCTGGAGAATGACAAAGGAGTCATTAAGGATGGAAGGAAACTCAGAATTGGAACCCCTCACCTTTCCATCTTCATGGCTGGTTCCAGGGGTGGGCTGCTGGGGATTTGCAGGGGTTCGGGAGAACCTCTAGCTAAGATTCTGTGCAGTTTGGAGAACCCCCAAATCCCACTCCTGGTTGGCCCCACCCACCCTCTCCCAGGAGTCCCCATGCGGCCCGTTTTGGATGCAGGTAAGTGCAGGGCGCGCACAGAGGCTCAGAGAGGGCAAAAAACGGGCCTACTGGAAGTTCGGGAAGGCCGGAAACGGGGCCATTTCCGGCCTCCAGAGGGCCTCCGGATCCTGAGGAGGCTGTTTTCGTCCTCCCAGAGGCTCAAGGAAAGGCTCCGGAGCCTGGGGAGGGCAAAAACGCCATGATGCAGGAGGCGACTAGGCCACGCCCACCATGGCCACACTCACCCAGCAACCGGGCAGAGAACTCCTTGCTAAATTTTTTGAAGCCCACCCCAATTTTCTCAGATGTGGTAGAATTAGAGGCAACTGACTCATATGTGTGATGGGTTGCAGTGTCCTGGGGTCCACGCGATCCCCTCTTGTGTAAGCGTCCTCGACTTAACGACCATAATTGAGGCCAACATTTCTGTGGTGAAGCGAAACATTTGTTCAGTGAACTTGCTCCCGTTTTACGACCTTTCTTGCCACCGTCATTAAGTGCATCACTGCAGTTGTTAAGGTAGCAACACGGTTGTTCATTGAATCTGCTTCCCGCCCCCACCATGACTTTACTCATCAGAAGGTCACAAAAGGGGATCACGTGACCCCAGGACACTGCAACCGTCATAAATATGAGTCAGCGGCCAAGCGTCTGAATTTTGATCCCATGGCCATGGGGATGCTGCAAACTGTCCTATGTGTGAAAAACGGCCCTAACTAGGTCACGTCTTTCGATGCTATTGTGACTTGAATGGTCATTAAGTGAACTGTTTTTAAGTCGAGGACCAACTGGTTGCCAGAAATGGACAGGTAAGGCCAGTTTTAGGAATATATTGGTTTGTGGTGTGACCTTCTAGAACAGAATTTCTCAAGCTTGTGAACTTTAAGAGGTATGGACTTCTGGTGTGGACTGCAACCCTCCAAATTCTGGCTGGAGGATTCTGGAAGTTGAAGTCCACATCTTTTAAAGCACAAGAAACAAACGTCACAGTCATTATCTGAACACGGTGATCATTAAATTAGCCCATTTTAACCACTGGGTTGCTTTTGGAAGTAACTGCTGAAAAATCATGGTTGCGTGACCACGAGGGATGCAACACATGTGGGCTGATTGCCAAGCGGCCCAAATGTGATCATGTGACCCACGTTGGAACTTCGAAACTGGGTCATAAGTTTCCATAAATGGGGAGGTCTGACATAACTTCAAACGATCGGTAAGCGACCGGTCGTAAGTCAAGGGCTACCTGTAGCTACCTATTGAATGGATCCCAAGGACCAGTTATTATTATCAATATAATAGATGTCATTCAAAAGCATACATCAATGTTCGCTACAGGATGGTGCCGTTTAAAAAGGGGATTGTATAGAAGAGAATATTTGTAGCTGAGGGTTGAACTGTGAGGGCCTTAGTGCTCTCTGAGCTTGATTGTTTTCTTGCAGAAGTTTCACTGCCCAACTAGTTAATATTATCAGTGCACTGATAATGTTACCTAGTTTGGTAATAAACATCTGCAAAAAACCCCACCAAACTCAGAGAGCACCAAGGACCCACAGTCCTCCTCCTCCTCCTCGTCTTTCTCCTCCTCCTCTCCACAATCTCACTCCCTTCTAGTCCTGATGATGTTATCTATTTGAGTAATGAAGCCTCTGCAAGAAAACATTCAAGTCAGAGAGCACCAAAGACCCCACAGTTCGTTCCTTCCTTCCTTCATTTCCTTCCTTCCTTTCCTTCCTTCCTTCCTTCCTTCCTTCCTTCCTTCCTCCTCTTCCTCCTGCTCCCCCACTGCTTTCTAGCACTGATGATGTTACCTAGATTGGTAATGAAACATCTGCAAAAAACCCCACCAAACTCAGAGAGCACCAAGGACCCCACAGTCCTCCTCCTCCTCGTCTTTCTCCTTCCTCTCCACAATTACTCCCTTCTAGTCTGATGATGTTATCTATTTGAGTAATGAAGCCTCTGCAAAAACATTCAAGTCAGAGAGCACCAAAGACCCCACAGTTCGTTCCTTCTTCCTTCATTTCCTTCCTTCCTTTCCTTCCTTCCTTCCTTCCTTCCTTCCTTCCTCCTTTCCTCCTGCTCCCCACTGCTTTCTAGCACTGATGATGTTACCTAGATTGGTAATGAAAAGTCTGCAAGAAAACCAAGCTCAGAGAGTACCAAGGACCTCAGAAAAGATAATGTTTTTGGGGGGCACTACCACACTGGAGGTGGCAATTAAATTGACATCAGATCTCACCTTCCCCCTCATTCCCTGCTTCCATCCCCGTCCATCTTCCATTCTCACATCACTCTATTCTCATTGTTTTCTTGCTCATGGTTTATTCTATTGTTCCACTACTTTGCTACTGTTAACGTTCAGCCTTCTTTTCATTTCTTCCTTTTTTATTGTCCTAAGCTAACCGCCTAGAGTAACCCCAAGGCGAGATAGGGCGGGAAGTTTAAGTTTAAGAAATAAAATACATCCGAGGAAATAAAACTTGAGCTACCCCTTTACGCGGAGAAACCGTCAGGAATCTCAAAGGCAATTGTCAAAAAATATACCTCGGCTTTGTTTGAGTTTTATTAATCCTATGTTTCATTGTTAACTCCATCAGCATTTTTTATTCTATTCCGTTAGAAAAAATGAAAACGGAGGAGTTGACGATTGAGAAGCCCATCGTGGCTATTTCCTCCCCACCTCTGAAATAATTTGGAAACCCTGGTTCTGTTTTAAATCACATGCAAATGTGGCACAATTCACCTATAATATCCCTGCTAGCGGGATGCTGACTACATTCATAACAGCCTCGCTGTTTATGTGATTGTAAGCAAGCGACCAAAACCTCGAGAGAAAGAAGGAAGCAGAGGCGGGAAGGCGAAGGCGACAATTCAAATCGGCATTCGCAGCACAACCATTACATATTTTACATCGCTAATTTAACTTCCATTGCATTTTTATTATAAATAAATAATCCAGCATGTCATCGGCGCCAAGAACCACTGAGGGAGTCTGTATGAGGGTTTGGCAGAGAGTTTCAAAATGTTTTATCATGGCTTTTTCATGGAACAGATAGCAAGCAGACGTTCCATTAAATACTGGCAGTCCTCGACGTACGACCGAAATTGAACCCAACATTTTTGTTGCTAAAGCGAGAAAATTGTTAAGTGAGCTTTTGCCCCATTTTACGACCTTTCTTGCCACCGTGGTTAAGTGGATCGCTTCTGTTGTTAAGTTAGTAACACGGTTGTTTAAGTGAATCTGGCTTCCCCGTCGACTTTGCTCGTCGGAAGATTGCAAAAGGGGATCACGCGAGTGTGGGACACTGCGACCGACATAGATATGAGACCAGGGGTGAAATCCAGCAGGTTCTGACAGGTTCTGGAGAACTGGTAGCGGAAATTTTGAGCAGTTCAGAGAACCGGTAGCAGAAATTTTGAGTAGTTCGGAGAACTGGCAAATGCCACCTCTGGCTGGCCCCAGAGTGGGGTGGGAATGGAGATTTTGCAATATTTTTCCCCCAGGAGTGGGGAGGGAATGGAGATTTTGCAATATTTTTCCCCCAGGAGTGGGGAGGGAATGGAGATTTTGCAATATTTTCCCCCCAGGAGTGGGGTGGGAATGGAGAGTTTGCAATATCCTTCTCCCAGGAGTGGGGAGGGAATGGGGATTTTGCAATATCCTTCCCCCAGGAGTGGGGAGGGAATGGAGATTTTGCAATATCCTTCTCCCAGGAGTGGGATGGGAATGGAGATTTTGCAATATCCTTCTCCCAAGAGTGGGGAGGGAATGGGGATTTTGCAATATCCTTCTCCCAGGAGTGGGGAGGGAATGGAGATTTTGCAATATCTTTCCCCCAGGAGTGGGGAGGGAATGGAGATTTTGCAATATCCTTCTCCCAGGAGTGGGGAGGGAATGGGGATTTTGCAGTATCCATCCCCTGCCACGCCCACCAAGCCACACCACACCCACCAAGCCATGCCAACAGAACCGGTAGTAAAAAAATTTGGATTTCACCACTGTATGAGACAGCTGCCGAGTGGCAGGATTTTGATCACATGATCATGAGGATGCTGTAACAGTTGTAAGTGTGAAAACTGGTCATAAGTCACTTTTTTCAGTACCGGTGTAACTGAACAATCACTAAACAAATGGTTATAAGTCAAGGACAACCTATCATTTAGGAAAAGAAATATAGCTGATGTCAAATTGTTTTTCAAATAGAGATGTGGAATTATGTGCAGCAGGAAATTAATTAGGATTGTGATCCTCACAAGAGTTGTCTAAACCCTCCCTCCTTTTCCTTGTGATCCAGCTCAGATGCTATTGGGGACCATAGCAGTTTGTGTTAACAACCACCACTAAGTGCCATAAATTTGAGCCAGAAGAGTTTGTTAACATGGGGAAAGAGAGAAACCGAGCACCTGGGGCTAGTATTACTAGTTTAAGAAAGAATCCTACAAAAGCTGCAGGATTCTGGGTGTGTTACAGCAGGGCTTGAAATAATGAAGGACAGTGAACCCATTCCAAATCTCATGTAAATGCCGTGTGTGACAATTTTGATGATGGCTCGGAGGTAATTAATTGACCCTTGTGATTGAACCCTGGCGGCATGGACAATTTCCTAGACGGTGGCCTAATTTTTAAGCCCTCTCCCTGCAGGAATTCTGGGGAATGTAATTTTTCTTTTCTTCTCTTCTTTTCTTTTCTTTTCTTTTCTTTTTTTCTTTTCTTTCTTCCTTCCTTCCTTTCCTTCCTCTTTCTTTCCTTTCCTTCTTTCCTCTTTCCTTTCTTCCTTCCTTTCTTTCT